TGTTTTTCCGGTTTTTCTTTGTGTCTGGTGTGCAGGTCGAAAGCTTCGGGAGAATCTATTTTCCATGATAAGTGGGCTAGGTGAACATCATTTAATAGAGCATTTCGTTGGCAACGCACAGGAAAAAGCGGAATCGAATTCCGATGTCAAACGAGTCCGAACGACTCCGAAAGGTGAAGTCACGCAAGTGGTCCGAGCACCAGTACTAGCCGCTGTCCGAGCATTAGCGCCGCTAGCTAGCAGCTAGCGCGGCTAACCCCCCCCCCTAGCGCGGCTAACACCCCCCTAGCGCGGCTAACACCCCCCTAGCGCCGCTAACCCCCCTTAGCGGCGCTAAGCCCCCCTGCAAGTCCCAGAATTGTATAAAAACCCCAAAAACTCGTTTTCTTGGGGATTCTTTTCATTCTCCCCCTCCTGGGGACGAACCCTAGGTCCAGAAAAACACAAAAAACCCCTTCTCCTCCCTCTCTTCTTCTTCTTCGTTTTTTCTTTCTTCTTCTTTTCACTTTTATTTTCATTTCTTTCTTCTTCTTCTTCTTTGCATTTTGGATTCAAGCTTGTATGAAGGTTCAACACTTGGATTGAATAAATTGTAAGAATTTCTTTTCTCTTTAAATTAATTCATGAAAATGGTTGATTTTGGAGATATGTGTTCGTTTGTTGAATTTGATATGCTTAGCTAAATCCGATTGGGACAGGGGATGATTGTTCTTGTTTGACGTGCATTTGTCGGGCTCGATTTGTTCATGTTCATGTGAGTTGAATTGATTCAGAATTGATGAATTTGTGCTTGATTGATTGATATAATCGAAGAGTGACACTTCGATCTTGCAATTGGTAACAGTTGAATATTGATTTGTCTAGTTAGGGTTTGTCAATTCTATATGATTAGTTGATTAATCACCTTAAGTTAATTAGCGACTTTTAGAACCGAAAGGGGAGAAGTCGTAGACCTAGGCTCGCATGAGGTAGATGATTTCGTAACTGAATAATCTATGGGTTGAGACTGAAATACATGTTTGTCGATGACCCGTCCCTTGTTACGAAAAGTTATTGGGATTGGGATATTTGGCCTATGTTGTATGCCCAAGCTTGTTCGTCTATGTTCAATCCCTTGTTACGAAGAGTTATTGGGAGCGAACCTCTAGATGTTTAAGCGAGAGTGTCAATCTCAAACCGAACGATTAATTGCCCGGCTTTGCTAGAACTTGAATTAATTATCCCCGATTCCCTAGTTTCTCCATCTTTGTTCCATCCACATTTTTAGGTAGATTATTGCTCTTTATTGTTTTTTAGACAGTAATTATTCAAACCCCTTTTCTGATTAGAGTGTTTAGGATTTTGTTTTCTTTTTATGTGTTATCATTACCAAAGCTAAATTCCGAACCGCCTTCCTCGAGAGATCGACCCGGGAAACGAATCTTTGATTCGGTACTCGGTAAAATATAACAATTTGTACACAACAGTTCCCATGGTGTTTATAGCCTTCCCGTGAGCACACCAGGTATTTCCAAAGAATAGTCTTATTATCACGTGTTTTCACCAACGTGCTCTACCTGACATAAAAACCAACCGCAGAGGCATATGTTCGGTAGAAAACAACAACATCATTTAACGTGTTAAACCGTTGTCCTTTCCAAGGTCGGATTGCGTCTTCGCATTGGGGGGTCCAGTATTTAGTACCCCCAGGTGTTATTAGTAGCTGGTGATCTTTTGATGGTTCTGTTGGGGCTGACACGCAACAATTCATGAGAAAGATTAACCACGTGAATAAAGTGCACATTTAGGTACAGTATCACGCACTTTACAATATAATTAATGCACTATATATCAGCATTCAAATACTCATTAAGATAATGTAAACAGAGTTAGCAGAAGATCCTCAGACATGAAATTCCAAATAAAAAACATATATACATAATCAAATTTAAGCATCGTGTTGTATCCCGTATTGGAAAATTGCATGTCATTCATTTTTTTATATATAATTAAAATAATTACAATAATTCTAATAAACAATTCTACATACCTGGTTGTGTGCCAAGCGGATCCATATGTTGCTACAGATTCATATAAATCAATAAACCGAGATGAGTTTCAGAAAATTCCAAAGTCGCTTGATTGATAGGAGCTGATCGATGGTGCACTAGTCAGAGCTCAATATGAGAATCTTCGCACGGTAAGCTCCTCGAGGTTTCAACGCGAGATTCGACGATGTTGTTTGAAGATTGTCCGGCATCGAGTTCGATCTGGTAATTATTCACGTCGCAGACAATCGCACGAGCCCTAAAGTCGGCCGACAATTGAGCTCGAGCTGTGGAATTTTGTTTCTCCCCCATTAATTCTGAGGTCTGGGAAAAGTGGTGGTGTTTTGCATAGATTATTCTGTGTATAAATTATAAAACTAACCTTTGTAGTTATGAGCAGTGACAGAACGTGGTGCGTCCGATTAATTCAATGCGATGGACAGGATGTTTTCTTATTTCTTTCGTTGACACTCTTTCTCAATGGAACTCATCTCTCTATATATATCTATATATATATATAATAAGAATTAATATTTTTTAAAAATAGTAAGCAAAAAAATAAGGAATATTAATTGCATTCCATTTTTGGTATGTTTTTTTAATTTTTTTAATAAAAAATCAAGTAACATTTAATGCTAGCATAAATCATGGGATTTGTTATATAGATGCATATTTGAACTTCAAACTTCAAACAAAACATGCCTAAATGTATTTTGAATTTTTTAAGGGAAAAATTTAACAAACACGTTAAAGATTTCATACAATACATATATTTATGTATATTATCTTAACATATAGGTTAATTAGTTTCATATCTAAAAAATATATATTTGAACAATATATAAACAAATATAATAATTTGTCGTACAATACAGACAAATATATAAACAATATATTTATATATAAATATAATAAACAAATATAATAAACAATACATACAAATATACGAACAATATATAAACAAATATAATAACTTGTCACGTGTATATTTCGTACAATACATATATTTATATATATTATCTTAACATATAAGTTAATTAGTTTCATATCTAAACAATATATATTTTAGGAACTTAAAGATTCATAACATTACTGACGTCATGTATATTTATAATATATTGTCACGTACATTTTACTACAATTGGTAACTTTTTTAAAATTATTTGAATAACTGGAGGTTGATTTGTAATTTGAATTTCAAATTCATTCAAACATTTAAAGGAAAATATCATAAGCAGATTTTTTTGATACATTTCATTTTATTTCAACTTACATATAATCACATTTCTACCAAACATTAAATTTGCTTATATCTTTTTAAATTGTTTACATCAATAGATAATATTAATATACATTACATATTATCATTATATAACAAATATATTACTTCTACAAGTGTTATCCATATCCATATATATATAATAAGTATTACCATTTACTAAAAATAGTAGCCAAAAATTTAGAAAACATTTAATGCATACTATTTTTGGAAACTTTTTAAATATATGCATTAAATGCTTCCATATACAAGTTTTCAAATAAGATCAAATAAGATATGATAAAAAAATTCTTAAATAAACTTATTAATATCTGCAATATTTTCATTGATATTTATTATAATAAATTACAAGATTGATTTTCCGTGATTTATGTTGATAATAATTTGGTCAAGATAAATATTATTTTATTAATATTTATAATACTCTCATTGATATTCATTATACTAAATTACATGATTGATTTCCATGATCCATGTTGATAATATTTTGGTCAAGATAAATATTACCCTATATTTTAAGTTCTAACCATAATATTCATTTTTTCACAAATATTTACTTTTTATCCAAAAATATTTATGGAAATTCGTAACAGGTGAGGTAGAATTTTTTTTCCAAGTAATCAGACAAAATCAAGTTAGTGAATTAATCTTTGCCAATATATTTTTTTCTTAAGCTTTATTTTGTTAAATATAAAAAATAAATTATTCTTCAAATTAATATAATTTACCATTTAAGAGATCAGATACATTAAATAGTTTTACTAATGGTAAAAAATTAAAATTGAAATATGTTAACTATTTTTTAGAATTTATTTGCATATTATTTGCACCCATGATTATTTTTTTTATTTTTTTATTTTGATTTATTTCTATAATTAAATGCTTGTAAAATATATTTTCATTGTAGATTATGCTAATTATAATACGGATTAGAAAAATTTTGATCATAAAAGGGATTGAGTTTTTGACATTTTCTAAATCGAAGTTGTTTAATTAGTATATAAAATTAAATTCTAAAAAAACATGTGTATATTTTGTAAAATATTTATACACTATTTAATTTTAAATTTATTTACATATTTTAAATTGATTACATAAATAAATAACACTAATGTGCATTAAATATTTTTCATTACATAAAATAAAAAAAAAAAGAAAACGTACAACTTCTATAACTTTATAAATAATAATTACATTATATGACAACAAAGTTTATAATTAAATAATAATGAAGTATTATATAGTGAACAAGAATAAGTAAAATTGTTATTCTCTCTTTTATCAAGGAATAAATATATACTAAAATCAAATTTATATTAGTATAAATGTGTTAGTGAGATAATATTAATTATTTTACAAACTGACCCTAACATGCTCTTTGACTAAAAAAACAACACTGATTAAAAGAGGTGGAAAATAGATTGTAACGTTATTGTTTATTACACTTAACGCTGAATAAAAGAGGTGGTAAATAAATGATAACCCTATTGTTTTATATACTTAAACAGACAAAAAATGTAAAAATAACTTATTTAATATTTATGTCCCGTGTATCGCACGAGATACATACTACACGAGATACATACTAGTATATAGATGCTAACATTCATAAATTTTAAAGGTACAAAATATATGCAAATTAATATTTAATTATTTATTTGTATGTTTACGGGTCTAAAAGACTAAACATTAACATGGCCGCCATATTTACACTCATGACGACCTTCATCAACAGATTACAGACCCAAACGAAACAAGTTAATAACGAACACAAGGATTAATTACATAATTTCTGCACATAGTGGCAGCTTAAAACTCCGATTTCACCCAATCAATCCCACAAGCCGTAGATCGTTGCATATAGACAACCCAAGCAACCACCGCCGCCAGGATCGTGGCCGCGGCCGCCAGGCCCACTGCCACCTTCGCGAGACCCGGCCTCTTCCCGGCTTCGTTCGATGCAGGAGTTGGTGGGTCCGCCGTAGGTTTCTCCGGTGCGGCGGATTCCGGTTTCGGGGCCCGATCTGCTTCGGCCGACTCGGACGGCGGCGGGACCTTAGGGTCGTCGGGTTCGTGGTTGATTTTGGGCATGGTGATGTAGAGGCGGCCGTTGGTGAACTTCGCCTGTATCGATTGGGCGTCGTAGGTGCTGCTGGGAGCGGGGACTTCCTTGTGGAATCTGGATTTAAATGACGTGTCCACCGGACGCTCGCCGGAGATTTTGAGGACGCCGTGGTTGCTGATCTGTACTCTGATCTGGTCCTTTTTGAAACCTTGGAGAAAGGGCAAAGGCAAGTAAATATGTTTATGGCTGAAGTTTTCATTGGTAAATACTTGCAATTATATGGTTTTTTGCTGATTTTTAATCTGAGCTGGTCCTTTCTGAAAACTTCGAAAAAAAGCAAAGGCAAGTAGAGATGTTATGGCCGAAATTTGGATTTTTGCTGCAATTGTTTTATGTACCTTTTATTTTTGGTTCATTTCATGGGTTATTTCTTTTATTTTTGGTTCATTTCATGGGTTATTTCTTTTATTTTTGGTTCATTTCATGGGTTATTTTGGTTTTTGGTTTTTAAAAACTCGCAATTATATGGTTTTGGATATTGAGGATAGAGATGAAACTATTGAATCAATGGCTGTTTATGTGAGTTAATCGGCTAGAGAAACTAGAAAAAACTTCTGAAAGATTAATTATTTGCCATCATAAGCTCAGATATAAGGCACCTTTTGGCTTTTCTGTTATTTTCTTTATTCTTTTTCAATTTCCATTCAAAAGTTCATAGCAGGAGTCATAACTAGACGAACAAGGAGAGGGACAGAATCAGAAAATGAACCGTTATGGAGGCGAGATTTATATTTTCTTGAAACAGTAGATAAAGACAATTTAAAAAAAAAAATTGAGGGAAAATTTTCGTAATAATGGGAAACCATATTTTTTCATATGATATAAAGTGTTCAAATTTTAGCCACATGAAGACAAGAAATCAAGCATATATCTGAGGGAAAAGAAATCATATGATGATCAAGGCTAGAACTGAATATTGGACGATGAATGCATGTATATATTCACCTTGAAGATGGATCTCAAGAATGTCTCTATCTTTATTACGTTGCCATTGGCATAATGGTTCAAATTCCTCGTATGTAGGCACCTCCTGATGAGCTTTTCCAGCCATGGAATCTTAGTTAACTGTTTTCAAAGGCTTTTTTGTGTTATATGTTGCTACTTTTGGTAGTGGATTGATAAATATGTTCAGCCCATTTCTTGTGGAGGTTTTCGGAAATATTATAAAATGTCCCAACTGATTTTCTTTGAATTTGGATTTCCTCCTAAGGAAGAGAATCAGATTCTTTCTGGTATAATTGGGTTGGGTTTTACTTTATGCTTGAGAAACCCTCCTATCTTGCATTTGGGCATGTTTGGACGTTTGTGAATGCAATTTTTCAGCGCAACAGCAAATTGAGAATATTTTCTATTCACTAATTAATTACTAAGTTGGTTCTTGAGTCTTGACTTTTGATTTTGGATTATGACCCATCTTTGGACCCTAATCTCTAATAAGGGCCATATAAATGAACGGATGTGCCTTACTTGGGTTTAGGTCGTACAAAAATTGATCATTTTTATTTTAGCTGTTACGCTTCGAAAATTGATATACACACAGATAGACGTATGTGTACATACAATTTAATATTTTGGTGTTTCAACCATAAAAACAAAGAACTCCAATGGTGCTTGAATAGTAATTGTATTGCCATGTGAAAATATTAGGCACCATAGGCTATATTAAATAAAATCCCTGTAGCTTTGGTGTACATATATTACCGAACGTTAAATTACACATGCGTAAATGGCATTCTCTATGCTGACTGCTGAGACTAAATTCTGGTTTCTTTGTTTCGGTTTCTGAGGCTGAATGAGTAGCCTATGTTACGCAATCGAGCTCAGTCTACACTGCTGAATTGGAAAGCTGAAGAGAATTAAAGAAAGAAAAGTAAAAGTATTGAACATTTGCTGTTTGTTTTTTTTCTTTGTTTGTTACTTTCTTGGTTTGCTGCTGTGTTTTCACGAAGGCTCTGTTTTATGGGGACTGATTAGAATGTCTTCGTGCTTAATCACATCTATAGTAGACCCCATTACTTTTTCTTCTCCTCTTTCCAATTAATCGAAATACTGTTTGTGTGATTTTTGCAAAGCAAATACGTAAGCTATGCATGAAGTTGGATTAGAAATGTTGTGGGACCAAAATATGAGAAAGCTCAAAAACAAAGTTAAAAGTTTGTTTTCAGGTTTCACAATTGTCTGGTGGGTGATTGCCTCCCTACATGAGACGTTGGGAGTCCATAGTTTTGGAACTTTAGTCAATAATTTGTGTGATTATGCATGATAAGTGAGGATCACAAAGCAAATGACTTTAACCTGTGTGATTCTAATCATTCTTAATCAGGTATACTATATACTATTTCTTGGATCAACTCCTACATCTTTGGAAGATTAAAATGATAACATAAAAAAAGAGTTTGCAAGGCTGGAAATACAATATTCAACGAAAATTACATGTCAATTCTTATGAAAATATTTTCTTATGAAAATCAATAAAAATAAATAAATTACATGTAAAGTTTATGCCTTAAAGTCACTATATTATTGTCTCTCATTATAAATATTTACCATAGCTGGGCCGGTTGCTAAAGGGTGCAAATGCCCGAATTTGGCTCGGACTTGCCAGGTCCGAAAACAGTGTTTTCAGAAGAGAAGTAATATTTTTTCTTGTGACTATATATATATATATATATATATATAAAGTATCGAATGTGAACGGCCAAATGGGGAGCCCATAACTATTTTACAAGCTCTCACAAGTCAGTCATTGAGTAGTTGTCCTTTTGGCTGTAGCACAAACTTTATCAAGACAAATGCAGATTCCTTTTCTTGGTTTAGTTATTTTCAGTGCACACATTGCTTTCATAT